TAATGCTGCTGTTTCCAAGCAATTACTGCAAAAGCAAGGAAACTAATGTTTTCAACTTCTGAATGTTTGGCTTGGTTTTTGAAAGTGAATGGCAAATTCCTTCTGGGAATCCTCCTAGTGCCTAGGAGACCTTCAGTCAAATTGCCCTTCATCAAATAAACATTTCCAGTAATTGAAATTACATTAAAGTGCTTCTGTGAATTTTTTTTTAAAAATGCAATTTACCAAAACCATAGACTGCAGAGTCCCACTTTTACAGATAAATACTCCACGTTGATTTTCTAGCTTGCAGCCTACCTATTTTTTCTACATATGGGAAATTATCAAATTATTTGTCAGTAGAAGAAGCCAATTACATTCTGCTTAGTTTGAACTGAGGGGAGGCTTTGCTCTTCCTTGAAATTATTTCTTATTTATTAATCAAATTTATATATTTGCACATCTCATTGATAGGACTATGGGAGGTGCACAACAATCAATAAAGAATATAAAAAGAGTGAATAAATATAAAACACCCTACTAATAAATATCTTTAAAAAACCAAAATTCAATCAAAGTGGAGGGAGAGCAAGTCTGTGAACCAACTTTCCCAAGGAACAATGGATCCAGAATGGGAAACATTTCTGAGGGGAATTGCCCACACAAGTTAACATCCTCCAATGTAGCAAACTGGTTGCCCTGCTCTGGAATCAGCTCAGCTATCACTGGACACTGACCCATGAACCTTGGTTCCAACTTCCTTCAGTGAGCTGACAGGTTTTGTGGAAACTAGAGTCTTCCATGTATGAGCAGTGAACGTTGCTGCAGAAATTGAAGGTGAGGAGAACATTTTGATGTATAGGGCAATTATTCTGGCCATTGGTGTGGAGATCTTTCTGTCCAGATTCATGATACCCTACTATGGTATGGAGACAGGGTTGCATAATATAAAGGAATATTATCTATTCCTCCATTGTTCTGGTAACTTGCATCACTAGAGCAGCCACACCAAATCTTCATTTATTGTACTTACAATATCACAAGGCTTACAATAGAAATGGTAATCTGTATATTCAGAAAAAGTACACATACCTAAATAAACTCCTAGAGCTAGATGATAGTTAGGTTCTTAAGCCAGGGTGTCACTCTGTTGTACTGCATAAAACATGTCTGATTGTATTTGGTTCATACTGTGATATAAAACCATTGTTTATAAACCATAAAAACTCAATTCATACAGCACACTGAGTAAAAACCAAATAACCAGTTAAAGTTCACCTCACAAATCCAGCCAGTCTAGGGTCAATGTTATGATTTTAAAGTCTTGTGTTTGTGTGTATGTGTGTGTGTGTGTGCTTTTTCATATTTTATAATTCACTTTTTATGTGACTCATTTTTAGGAAAGGCAAGCTAGATATAAATTCTTATCTACAAAGAGAGAGAGAGAGAGAGAGAAGTAGAGCAAACAACAACAACAACAACAACAAAAAACCCAACTCTAATTCTGTGATTTATTGAAATAAACTTGTACTACAGCCTCTTTCCTGTAAATGCAGTATAATAGTTATTGTGATAGTTCACAATTAATTTATATAAACCAATGCCTTAAGATTTGATAACAATAGTCAGAAGGTTAGATGGCTTTAAGAGGAGTGACTTCTCATTTTCCAAGATTTTGTTATGTGCGCAAAACATGTTAACAAAACACCTAACAACCACTGCATACAGAAACCTTTTTGTTTCAGTAGAAGGTTTGGGGCCATCAATTAATTAAGCCATGCAAATGAGAATCTTCCAGCAGAGCTTAATCAGAGACATTGGTTACAAAAATACAGTTCCAATTTCTTGCCATGGTAAACAGTTCATTTGCATGTCTTGATTCAGATCATACTTAAAGAGAATTTTCTCAAAAACAGTTGGTTTTGGTGACTTTTCAACATAAAAAAATCAACTATAATAAATCAAACTTGCTCCCTACATGGAGGCAATATAAAACATATCTTACCTTGTTTATTCTTCAATTAATTTGTTAAATGTAGGATTTAGGTCATTTGACTTGTTTATAAGCAAATGAGAAAACATGCTAACTGTCCCTGTTTTACTTTAATGGTGATCTTCCCAGGTATATTTGACCTGGGATATAAAATTTTCATGATTCTATGTGTAGAAAAACAAAACATATAACCTCAACATAATCTTTATTTCAAAAAAAAAAATCTCTGAATCCCATGCACATTCAAGAAACAGTCTTAAGAAAAACACATTGAATGGTTGCATTCTAGTTCTTTGGATGAATGCTCAGAGATGCATACATACACATGAAGCTGGGGGAGGCAGAATTTTCAGAGAAGCCACAGAGAATGTATGGAAGAATAAAATAACTTCACCAACTTGCCTTCTGGCATATGGGTGTTTGGTGATTTGTACACTTATACACACAATGGTGCCCTTTTTTCTGATGGTACCCATACAATCTTCAAAATTCCACACTGTCCAGTAATTCTAAAATAGTTGAGTATCCCTCATTTTAATATAGGTATGCATTCATAATGATCTGAATGTAGGCATAAAATGAATTGGGAGATGCAATAAATATCACAAATCTTTTTATTAGCAAGATTTTCAAATAAAACCACAAAAATATTCTAGTTCACCAACCAACATATACTTTATATCTATGAAAGCAAACATCTTTGGCACTGAGATACTTCATTAAAAGAAAGCATCAACAATGTCTTTTGGCTGATGACAAAATATTACCTAATAAACAATAAACTCATACAGAAAGGTAGCAGAGTACAATTCCCAATACATTGCACAGAAAATGAAGATATTGATCCATAAGTATAGTCAGACACTTAGTAACAATTTCAAATAGATAATAATATTACAGTTTGACTGTAAAGTATCAAGTGTTGTGACAAATTTACTGAAAAGAGACAAAAAGAAGAGGAAAATACCTACACAAGCATAAATAGTTTGGGATTCTATGTCCAATCGTTCAATCATTGTAGACATTCAATAAACCAATAAATAGTACAATGAAAAAGTATTTATTTAAAAGTCCAGGAGAAAAGCATATAAACTATCTTTCAATAGACATAAAAACCAAAAGGACATTCCCTGGTTTTATAAGCTGAAACCATATAGATGTGTTTAATGAATTTTCAAATACAGCATGCTTCTAAGTCCAGTGCAAAATACCTGACATTGTAACAACATGACACATATGTAGGGATCTCTCACATGGATCTTGTCAGTTATGTGTCTCCACCTAGATTACATTTCTCTGAAATCAAGAATCGGGAATGGAGTATAATAATAGTGGCATGTGCTTTAGGACTTCAGTAAGGCATTTGACAAGGTAGACCACAACCTACTTCTTAGTAAAATATAGCATCTGAGACACTATCACCACCAGATGGAATCACAACTGGCTGACCAATCACATTAAATGTGTAGTCCTCAATGGAACTACATCTACATGGAGGTAAATATTCAGTGGGATACCCAAGGTTCTTCTTAGTTCCAGTACTCTTCAACATCTTCATAAATGATTTAGATGAAGGGATAGAAGGGAGCTTATCAAATTCACAGACAGCACCAAGCTAGGGGTAATAGCCAACACTTTAGAAGTTAAGCTCAAGATCCAGAAAGATTTTGATAGACTTGAACACTGGGCCCTATCCAACAAAATGCAATTCAGTGGTGAAAAATGTAAGGTTTTACACTTAGGAAAGAAAAATCAAATGAACAGTTATAGAAAAGATGGTATCTGGCTCAATAGTAGTAAATGTGAGAGGGATCTAGGAATCCTAGCGGACAATCACTTAATTATGAGCCAGCAGGGTCCTTCAGCTGCCAAAACAGTCAATGTAATTCAGCCAATGCATCAACAGAGCAACAGTCTGTTCAAAAACACATAAAATAGTAGTCTTGCTATATACTGCCTTGGTGAGACTACACATGGAATACTGCATCCAGTTCTGGTCACCATTATATAAAAAAGATGTTGAGACTAGGAAAAAGTGCAGAGAAGAGCAACAAAAATGATTAGAGGGCTGGAGCCTAAAACATAAAGTGAACAATTGCAGGAACTAGGTATGTCTAATCCAGTGTTTCCCAAACTTGACCCTTTGAAGATGTATGGACTTCAACTCCCAGAATTCCTCAACCAGGCATACTGGCTGGGGAATTCTGGGAGTTGAAGTCCATGCATCTTAAAATAGCCAAGTTTGGGAAACACTGGTCTAATCTAATGGAGAGAGGATTAATCCCCTTCTCACAAAGAAGAACGAGTCAACCTATTCTCCAAAGCATCTAAGGGCAAGACAAGAAATAACAGATGGAAACTTATCAAAGAGAGATCCAACCTAGAATTAAGAAAAATTTTCCTGATAGTGAAAACAATTTGCCTTCAGAAGTTGTGGGGGCTCCACTATTGGGAGGTTTTTAATAAATTAAGACAACCACTTGTCTGGAATAATATGGGCTCTATTTCTTGGGTACGGGCTTGGACTAGAAGACCTCCAAGGTCCCTTCCTTCCAACTCTGTTATTCTGTATTCTGCTAGTGGTATCTGTGCATGATTGAGAATATATGCAAAACACAGATGGATCTATGTAGTTTCTGCTTTTCTGCTGACTATGGAAAATCTATCTGAGAGAGATTTAATTATCAAAACTAGATATGATTTTCATAAATAGATTGACCCAGATAGAATTCCATCAGCTTTGTTCACTAAGTGGACAAAATTAAACAGAATTTCAGTTTCTGAAAGTGCCTATGCTCAGTAGAATATTTGCTCTGTCTTTCATTTCTGGAGAAAATCAATCCCAAAAGTTATTTATTTTTCCTATTTTTATAGACAAGTGCCTCATTTGGTTAATGGAACGCCATCAATGGTCTGAAAATGTTGCCCAAGAGGCATATCCCAATTTTTATTGGAATGCATGATATAACTTGTTCTCCCTTGTTCCATGTTGTTAAGAAAAGAAAATTTAATCAAGACTTGTTAATAATTTAATTCTAATAGTATTTTAATGAAACACACATTAAGAATTAAATATCAGAGTCCAGATGATTATCTGTAAAACATGAATCAATTAGAAATAGATTGTCTGCCCATACAAGAAAAGTATTATAATATTTGGAAATGGGTGTGCAAAGCACACTGTCAGTACTCCCTGCCAAGCAATTTTTTTTTCATTTTCACATTACTCTGATCTCATGAATTCCATTCTTTAGTGTCACACTTAAAAGTATAATTTTATCTTTGTTACAAAATACAGGAATATGTAATTTTTGTTATTATGACTGGAAAATGAGATAGGGATTGTTAATTCTTGGAGTATTTGATTGTATAAGGCATATTGGAATATTTTTAAAATCTCTTGCCTGCTCTCAATTACTATTATTTTAATGAGTATAAAAGAAATTCTGTAGAAGAGATGGACAAGACAAATATGCAGAAGATTCAGTACATGTTACCTGCACACTGGTGTGAAGAGATTGCAGAGGGTTGCACTTTTTGGCAATTCAATACTTCACAGAAATAAGCTGGATGCTACACTGAGGTTCCACAAGTAATAAAAACAAGAAAGCAATGGCAAAATGCAGAGGAAGGCTCACATTTGGACGTAGTCCATGTATAACTCTTTGCACACTGGAAAAGATTCAGTAATATTTCAAGATCCTAGATAGACAGTGCTCTACCATTTTAGGTTGCAGTAAGAAACAATAAATACGTTTATAAGAATAAGAACTAAGCATGCAATAGTTACATAAACACCACTTTCATCCTGAGATTGTGTCTTCTTAATGAACATTCTGACCTTTGAAAATGTAATCTATGTAAAAAGGTAGATTACAACCATTTACAATGGCACACATTTACTTTTATATCGCCATACTTAAGTACAAAATGCTTTGTAGTTATACTTGCAAAAATTAATTATTTGAGACTTGATCAAATCCAACAACAGATTGCAGTGCATCTCTGTGTCATGACATTTTACCATGGGGTTCAATAAAGAGAAGGAGGCTGAATATCGATGGAGAAATAATTGTCCAGTGAAAGTTAGGGTACATTGAAATCCCTTACATATAAAATAAATACAAAAAAGTCCAGACCTCCTCCATGAGAATATCATCAAAACATTATTTTCCTTGGAAAACTCAATAAAAAGCTACATAGCTTCTCTTTTAGCTTAAAGGTTAATGATTTTAAAAATGCAGAACATTGTTCATTCTAAGCCAGTATCTCCCCTAGTATCAAATCTGTGGTTAGAAGTTCATATGTAAGACAGTAAATTCTTGTTTTTTAAAGATCTTTGCATACATCATGCATGCTTTTGGATATTTTATGATATAAACTTTAATTTATGTGCTTGCTGATCTTTGTAGGGAACAAGGGCCATATTTAATAGAATGTTTCTGATCTAGCAAGACTCCATTTATTTCTCTCCGAGGTTCCTTCTACAAGGAGGTATCATGTCCGCATGGCAAAATTAAAATTATAATTTTAGGTAAGGATAGGCCCAGGAAAATTCACAGGAATAACACTGTTGTCAGAGGCACTCTAAAGTGGTAAAGTCAAATAACATTTCTGAAGCAGTTAAAAGCTTCAGGTATATGGGCATACAATGATCATTGGTGGCCCTATTTAACCCTGAGCAGGATTAAGATCTTCTACTATTTTCCCCTGGTTTTTAGATGGCATTAAGAAACTTAAAGCCATATTAAAATATGTTAGGGCTTCTTTTACAAGTTTTATGCATCTCTTTTCTCCAACTAAAAACAAACTATGCAGTTGACCTCAATAATAGAGGTCTGGATTTGAGGATAGCATGTGATTATGAACTACAGGTTGTCCTCCCCAAGGGAAAGGAATGGAAGAAAGGGAAAAGGAGAGGAAGGAAGGGTAGGGGGTAGGAGTAGGAGAGAAGGTGAGTAGGGGGGAAAGAAGAGAGGAGTGGGGAAAGGAAGGGGGAAGTAGGAAGTAGGAGAGGAGGGAAGAGAAAGTAGGAGAGGAGAGGAGGGAGGGAAGGAAGGAAAAGAGGAGAAGAAGAAGAAGGGTTGTTGCAAAATGTGGGAAGAAAGGGTAGAAGAGCAACTCCGAATGTAATTAAAATGCCTTATTTTAATATTTTCTTGAAGGAAAACATGTATATGTAGGATTAATTATGTATAAGAAAATGTACATTTTATATTATGTGTATAAGAAATAAAACTGAAAAACCTTTCCAAAAAAAAAAAAAAAAAGATTGTCCTCCCCAGCTATAAAACATGAAGCCATTGCTGTTTAATTAATTACTAGATACTAAAATAAAATAAAGATGTGGCATTCTTAGTGCTCTTCAAGTCTGGTTATTTGCGTACAAACATTTCATTACCTGCCTAGATAACATCATCAATATGAGTCACCGATTTAGTTGGCTAATGAAATATCTGCAAGAAAACAAGAGCATCAAGGACTCCACAGTTCAACCCTGAGCTATAAATATTCTCTTTTATTGAAAGTAAAAATGGCAAATCTATGATCCTAACGCACCACCTGGTTCTCACCATAATTCTGTACAGGTGTCCTCATTTCAAAAGCCCTTTATAGACAATAATTTTGGGAAATGTCAAGTGGGTGAAATAGAGAGAAACAGAGAAGGGAATGCTATAAACAAATGTACTGTCATAAAGAAAGAAAGAGTTTCAGAAAGACAGAGAGAAAAGAGGTTTACAACCCAGTTTGAGCTCCAGCATCCAACACTTCTGGCATCACCTATCATGTACTGTCTTCCCGATTATCAAAACAGGAATGCATGGCCTTCAGAAGTGTTCTCCATTCTGAAGCAAAAACATACCTTGGGCTACTCTGTCAAACATTTTCCAAACTGCAACTTGAGGATACCTCTTCCGTGGAGCTGGAGTATCTGGTTAAACTCTTTGGGCATGGCATGGAAACCTGGCTTTGGAAGTTGGTTGTCATAGTAGTGATGACTTATGGGGATACCTGCTATGCTTTTGGAGAAAGGCCAAAAACCATACAGCTTCACATTCTCACAGAGTTCCATTGCTGCGCTGGTGATCATGAAGCCAGAAGACAGTCGGTAGGCTTTGACACCCTTAGTTCTCCAGAACTGGGCAAGACTTTTGAGATACCTCGGATAGAAAAATATGGCCTTCTGCTTTGCGCTGAACTCTCTCAGGGTGTGATGTACTTTGAAAGATGCTGCTGTGTTGCTTCTAAAGGAAAAAGCAGGTAGCAAGAGGAAAGCTTCTCCATAACTTGCAATGTTTTCCATGAAGGTGGCCTTCTGATCATTCAGTTTGTTATATCTGATCATAAGAGCAAAAACAATGGATGTGGATATGTGCTAAAAATGCAGGACATCTACTTTAAGCAGCAGTAAACTAGAGACAGGCAGTCAGACTGAGTTTACAGTTTATTTAAATTTACCAGTATTTAGTTTGCACACAAAGTGAGCCGCTTTTAACCAAATGACTATGCAGATTTTGTTTCATGGAGAATCTATTCCCCCATTTCCTTCTGGTTCTTTGCCATATGTTCAGTCAATGCATAATATAAAAGTAGCTGTAGCACTGAAGCAAAACCTTAAGGGGCACTGAGAAACAAGAAAGCCCATTGCCACTTTTTAGATAATGGTTTTCATTATTCCAATGCTTTCTTGATCTCAAAGCGATGGAGAAATTTGTGGAAGCAGAAACTATAGGACTCCATGGCTCCATTACTTTCTCAAAGGATAAAAGGATAAGGAGTCTCTCTTTGTATTAGCCTGCCTTTTAAGAGGGAGTTTGGGACGTTAATGAGGCCAGTAGAACTGAGAAGCCATGATGATGATGATAACACACCAATGAGCTTCTGGATGTTTAGCCTAATAATTAAACACAGATTGCAAATAATACCATAGTTATACTCACTTCTGAGCTATAATGCTTGGGTTAACAGTTACAAGATTTGTCTTATTGCCAACATCTTGACTGACACTTCCGCTGGTTGGGGGAAGATTGCACCTGTAATTTTACAAAAGGTGTTTAGATTCCACTCCTATTATAACAGTCAAATTTCTCTCAAGTATTAAAAGATACATTAATTTTACCAAATCAGGTTCTATCTAACTTCTAGCCAGTTGAATTCTGAGAATTCACTTTTATAGCCTCATGACTGTATATGAAGGATTGGATTTTTAAGGCTTATTCTAAATATACATTTAAGAAATTAATGGAACCTACATTTTGGCATAAAAATATGCTGAAAATGTATCCTATACATAATATTTGAGGCTCAAAATTAGGAATCATATCTAACTTATAGCATTCCTTCTATACAATGGGAGGAAATTTATCTAGTTATTTAGATGGATTTGTGATACAAATTTATGTATCTTTTAGTTTAGTAGATACAAATTTATGTATCTACTAAAAATGAATAACAGATACCATGTCATCCATTTTGTCAGACTTTCAAAGGGAGAATAGATGGATCAGAGATAACTCCAGATATGAGGCTGTCCTTAAGTCCAGTTACGTTTGCAACAAGTTATAATGGAAAGTTTCAATACTTCATTTGAGGACAGAAAATTGGTGAGGAGAAAGTACTGTGTATTTATTTGATTCAGGTTGTCTTCATTCATTGGTAAACCTTAGGACTAAGCTCACCTCAACACATGTATGGATCTCTTGCCTCAATGCATTTATGGATCTGATGCAGCTGATTTCATTATATAGCAATAAAAAAGTATACAGGCAAATATAGCAGAATAACCCAACAGCCCTTTATAGCAATAACAATAGCACTTAGACTTATATACTGCTTCACAGTCCTTTACAGCCCTCTCTAACAGAGAGTCAGCATATTGCCCGCAACAATCTGGGTCCTCATTTTACCGACCTCGGAAGGATGGCAGTCTGAGTCAACCTTGAGTCAGTGGCACTTGAACTGTTGGCGATCAGCAGAAATAGCCTGCAGTACTGCACTCTAACCACTGCGCCACCAAGCTCTTGCTTGCTATCCCCACTGACCATACTGTACCTTGAAAATCTAAATTCCAGCACAAGCAGCTGGTACTGAAAGGTGGCGACAAACAATGTTATATTTGTAGTTAATGACCTTTATATTCTTCTAAACAGGGGTGTCAAACTCGCATTGTTGTCATGTGATGTATCACAACTTTTTTCCCCTTTGCTAAACCGGGGGTGGGCGGGCCATGAGTTTGATACCCCTATTCTACAAATGTGCCTTCATCTTCTAGATGTGTTAGGCTATAACTCCATAGCCAACATCTCCATATTGGGAAAGGCTGGTTCACTCCCTTTCTTATTAATGGGTTGCAATGAGTTGATTATCATAGTTAAAATTTCTCACCTAAACACAAAGTCAGATTTATCAATTTCAGCTCCACAATTGGAATTCTTGAGATTTCCTCCATTTCCAACAACTGCACATTGCTTGAAAGGAAAATCCAGAGGCTGAGACTGAAAACAAGAGACAGTGACAGAGTGTGTCAGAGTTTAAAAAGGCAGGAGCATGCATTTCTTTTAATAAAGTACTTACTGAGTGATCATTACCTCCATTACTGATAAGTACAAGTCTCCTATCCTTAAACTCCTGGTATTTTCCAGGGACCAAATAATTCTGGGTACACATGTTGCATTAAGCCAATTTTCATTTAATCATGATTTGTTGAAATGCCACTGTGCAAAGCCATAAACATGATCTACAACCTATAATAGCAGCGTTTATATATAAATCAAGCCCATACTATATAAGAGAAAATGTGAATCCAGTCAATGAATGTGTATCTTCCTATAGTGTATCTCCGTAATTTTTTTACCATATTTGCTTTCTAAAATACTAGAGCTACATAGCAGTGACTTTGGATACATTTATGGACCAAAACATGAAGCAATTTTACATTTGAGTCATTGTATTTTGCCTAATCATGTCTTTCAAAAGGACAATAGTTTTCTCAAGCAAGAGACATTCTCCAGTTCTGGTGAGGTGAAATTGGACATCACATCTGACTAAGAGCAGAATAGAATAGAACCTTTTTTTAAAAAAAATATTCTTGTCAAAGCTAAACTCAAAAGATATTCTTTCTTCACTCCTTATTGGTCCTATACTGCTTTGTTTATGGTATCTTATAAACATCAGAGTTTTTCTTACCTCTGGCAACATCTGGAATATGTCCTCTGTAATGTGGATGGTTTTTTTATTGTCCACTTCATAAGACATGTTGCTTCCCAGTGGAGTATTATTTTGAGAAGCAACAAAATTATGCATAGCATCGCAGCATGAAGCAAGCTCTGCCCTGAAGTTCATAATAAAAATGAAAGACCAGTATAATGAGTTTAGTAGAGAACCATCACCAAATAAAATTAACTTCTGATTCATATTGTTTATTAGTATAAACATCCATTAAATGACCCCAACAAGACATTCTTGAGATAAATTGGATTTCAATTCATATAATTTGTTAGGATATGGTGCATGCCTAACAGGTTGTCCAGGCAATATATAAGCTAACATGATAAATACTGTATGTATTCTATGACTTTAAGAAGTACTGCTGAGTCATTGTAATGCTGAGTCATTGTATCCTGATTGGATAAGCTCTGTAGTAACTGTATTTAAGGAGAGCTTGAATGTAGTCATTGTGGACATGCCACCATCGTGACTTGTTACCAGCGTGAACATGTTGCTATTTATTACCTACTGCTGTTTTGTAATTTCTACTTGATCTCTTACATGGTCTAATGTGATCATGGTTTATTTATACTGTTTTTAAGAACTATTTATATTGTTCCTGTTTGATCCTTTTACTACAAACTGGTAAGAAGAATCTTGTATCTCTGGACTGATTATGACTGGCTAAGATTTGGATTGATTAAAGACTATGAGATTGTTTTTCACTACAAAGTAAAAACTTTGATAAACCAGTTTATATGGTTTGCATTGGCTCCCACTGGTCTTCCGGGTGCAATTCAAGGTGTTGGTTACCATCTTTAAAGCACTCCATGGCTTAGGACCAGGGTATATACAAGACCACCTTCTGCCATCGACAGCCTCCCACCGGCCAATACGCTCCCACAGAGAGGGGCTCCTCAGGGTGCTGTCGGCCAAACAATGTCGACTGGCGATGCCCAGGGGGAGAGCCTTCTCTGTGGGGGCAGCAGCCCTCTGGAATGAGCTGCCCCTAGATGTGCATATGATCCCCAACCTGCGCACCTTTTGGCGTGCCCTGAAGACCCTCTTGTTTCAATAAGCCGGGGTGGCCTATCATGAATATGAATTTTAATGGGTGTATGTTAGTTCTTAATTTGTGGGCCAAATTTTTGTATATTTGATTTTAATGGTTTTTAAATTTTGTAAATTTTATGTGTTTTAATATGGCTGTACACCACCCTGAGTCCTTCAGGAGAAGGGCGGTATAGAAGTCTAATAAAAGTAAAGTAAAGTAAAGTATTTTATTCATTGTTGCTCTCAGCACCATTTCCATGTGCTCTATGCTCTGCTGGTTGTTAACATAACAATATCCTTAACATAATTCATCAACCAGTTTGGCCAACAAAGAGTAGGTGAGGATTTTAAGATGTGAATGCAATGTATTTTATTATTATGTAGGTCTATGTACTTATTTATTATTTTTTTTTGGTAAGGGATGGATCTAGTCCTGATCAAATACCAGGACTACCGGACAACAATGAGAAAATGCTATTGCTCCAGATTTTGTTTCGGAATTCTATGGTAGAACAAAGTTGATCAGATAGAAATAAGACTTAACAGATAACTTTAATTTAACATCCCATTTTCATTAATAAGTTTATTAACATAAAGACTAGAGTGGATTCAGCTTATTAATAAGTTCTGATTTAAAATACAAAGTACTCTTAAGAATCCTGGGCAAAATATTGTTATGTATTGTTAGAATCTCACAGTTTTCCACAGTGGTGCATTTTGTTTTTGTTTTTTTTTTGTATTTAAAAGGCTTCTTGTTATATTCGATATTCAAGTAAATTCAGCCATGATAGCAGACAGGTTCCAAAACATAAAAAAACAAAACAAAAGCCTAATTTAATATTATCTATAGCTTTTAGACATTAAAAAAACCTGCTTTTTTGTCCATGAGAATAATACTTGATCATTTTCTTTAATCATGTCCCTCTGTGATGGAATGCTCAATATCTAAACTAAGCCTTTAATTAATTAATTAATTAATTAATTATTTTATTTATTTGTTGGGACTTGTATGCCGCCTATCTCCACAGGACTCAGGGTGGCTCACAACAATTAAAACAGACAGACAAACCATTAAAACAAAGTCCAAGTTAAAATTAAGAAATTCTATAAAACCCAGATTAAGCCCGCCATTAGTCCAAGGCAGCCAGGTGAAATAGCCATGTTTTCAGCCCATGGCGGAAAGAGCGAAGGTCAGGGGTCACCTGGAGCTCCAGAGGGAGTTGATTCCAAAGGGCGGGTGCGCCCACAGAGAAAGCTCTCTCCCTGGGGGTTGCCAGCCAACACTGTCTGGCCGACGGCACCCTAAGTAGGCCCTTCCTGTGGGAGCGCACCGGGCAATGGGAAGCTGTTGCTGGCTGCAGATGGTCCGCCAAATATCCCCGGCCTAGGCCATGTAGGGCTTTATAGGTAATCACCAGCACTTTGAATCTCACCCGGAGAAATAGTTTTATAGTGCAATTCTGCTCAAAATTAAGCTCAGGATTTCAACGGGATTGTTTTCAGGAAATTATGTATCGCTCCATTACTCTAGTGAAAGGCCTTTTAAATATAAAGGCACTGGATTGAATAATATTAAACTTAGTTGATCTAATCTGAGTGGATCCTAAGCTTTTGATGAAGCAATTCACTTTGCTGTTATGGGATGGAGAGGTGGAAGGTCAACTCACAGAAAATCCATTCTGAAGTACACACTTTAGTATTTCAGAATTATCCCATGGTAATTATTCCTGGGTAAATTTATATATAGGAATTATTGGTTGTTGCATTTTATTCGTAACCTCACTGAAAGCCCAAGGTTACGATGTTCCAAAGGAATGGGGTCATGGAAGAGAGGCTCTTCTCCTGGCCCCATTAGCTGGGATTCCTTGATTGACAGGATCTGCAGCAAGCGTTCTCTGTAATATGGGTGGGGCAGGCCTGTCCCATATGAGTGAGATGGTTTTTCCAGTAACCAGGACTCATGCTATACATGGTTTTATAGATACCTTGATAGATACAATTCAACACCTTGAATTGCACAATGAAGCTCATGGAACAGCAGAGTAACATGGGTTACTCCAAAGGGGCTCCAAAGATTCGCTGCACTGTTGCACTATGCACAAGTTGAAACTTCCTAATGGTTTTCAAGGTTAGCCCCATGTAGAGCACATTGCAGTAGTCCAAACATTAGATGACCAGGGTTTGAATGATTGAGCACATGGGACTCCTTATGCAGAAAGGCCACAATTGGCACAGCACCTGATGTTCTGTAAAGGCTCTGCTTAACTGTGACTGCCACCTGCTCCTTGAACCGGAATGTTCAGGAGAACCTCCAAGTTGCAGATTCGATCCATCTGAGGTAGTGCCTCCCCATCCAGAATTAAAGATGTCTAAATCCTGGATCTTGGAGTTCCATCCACCTAAAACCATTCCGTCTTGCCAGGATTCAGCCAAAGCCTCTGTCTCCCCGTCCAGGTCCACACAGCCTCCAGGCATCTTGAGAGGATCTGCCCTGTCCAACTCCATCACTGTAATCATTATATAGCAGCAGTTGCTACTTTAATTAATTCTCCAAGGAAGTAAAAAGGTATGAGACATAAAATGGGTGCAGAATGTGTTACGAATTAGGAGAGAGATCTTTATGAAATATTTTAATTCTGTAAGGCTTTACTTACCCTATTACTACCATGAATAGCATAGTTCGAAGGAGCCAATACAGATATGGAAAAATAATGATTTTTTAAATTCATTATTATTCATTTTATTCATTCATTATTATTATTCATTATTAATACTATTTTGTTTGATTGCTTGTTTGTTTGTTAATTAAAACATTTATAGAGTCACCTACATTCTAACCAATCAAAATATCACATAAAACCACATTAAATCTATGAAACTAAACACACTAAAACATTAAAAACAAAAACCTGGCATCAAGTCAAACTACTAATATTCAGTCATCTAATCTTATTTCAGTGCTTGGGGAAAAAGTCAGGTCTTCAAAGGCTCTATGAAAGGCTAATATGGTAGAGGATTCCATGAGGCAGGGGATGCACAGTATTTCTTGGCTCCCATCATATGGCAATATTTAGGGCAGGGGTCTGCAACCTTAAAACACTCAAACAGCCATTTGGACCTGTTTCCCACAGAAAAGAAAACACTGGGAGCCACAAAACTTGGGTAGGCATGGCCAACTCGATGTCACTCACTTCAGCCAGTCACATGACCCCCTAGCCACACCTACCCAGTCGGTCTTTAGGACAGAGAACCGGTTGTTAAAAAACACCGGGAACCAAAAAACCCTTTTGACATCTCTCTCTCTCTCCCTCCCTCCCTCCCCCTCTCTCCCGCCCCCTCTCTGTAGCTCTCTGTCTCTGCTCTGGCCGCTTCTCCATCCCCCACAGTCGCCCTTACCTTCTCAGTCCAGGTGAGGAGTGACTGGGAGGGGAGAACGAGGGGCAGGGCCAACCAGTGGTGGGATCACCTGACAGGGAGCCACAGCAGAGGGCCCAAAGAGCCGCATGTGGCTCCAGAACTGCAGGTTGCTGACATCCGATTTAGGGGTAGGGAATAGAGGTGTGTACACTTTATCTGGCCTGGTAAGGTGGGTAGATTTAGGGAATTAAGAGTTAATGATTTAGGGAAAGGTAGTCCCACATGTAACCTGGCCCCATGTGATATAGGGCTTTACAGGTGATGACCAACACCTTAATTTGCACCCAGAAAAACCTGGAAGCCAGTGCAGCTCATGCAGCAAAGGTGTTACATTGGCAAATCTAGGGCCCACATTAGTATATGCCCTTATGCATTGTGAACCAGTTAAAGTTTCTGAGTGGTCTTCAATGGCACCCCATGTAGTGTTTTTTTAAAAAAAGTGGGGAGTCCCTGAGGATTTTACTCTGCTAGTTATTGCTGGCTATAGGGGGTAGTAGTCATCTCCATTTCAGAACCATTGAGCCAGCACTATCCAAAGACATTTTGTGGTCATGTGGCCAGCATGACATTGCAGAGTGCTGTTACCTTCACACTGAAGTGGTACCTATTTATCTACTCGCATTTACATGCTTTTGAACTGTCAGATTGGCAGGA